GTAAGTTTTGATTTACAGCATGGCCCTTTTTCCTGTACAGCCTGCCCAATGGCTATTCAATGGCTTTCTGATATTCTCCCTGTGAAATCTGCATTGATTTAAAAAAAAAAAAAAAAAAAAAACCCACCTGGCTAGGTAAAAAATTGCTAATGACCTGATCCAAAGCTAATGGAAATGAATCCTAGTGAAAGGGCTAGGAAACAAAGACTTTTTGCAAAGACTTAATTGGATTTTGGATCAAGCTCTGAAGGGGCCAGTTGTGTGGGAGATGTTTTACTCACTGCACTTTTATTTTTTTATCTTCAACCTGCTCAAGCCCAGTGGTGGAGTTTTAGGCTCAGTTTGCTTGCCATCTCCACTGGCAGGCGGAGGATATTTCTGAGTCCACCCACATAAAATCTGCATTGGTGAATATCTCTGGATGTTTGCATGCACGCACACAAACAAACATACAGACTGTGTTAAGGAGCATGGTTAGGGTTTTAAAGTCAAATATAAATGGTAAAATGAAGGCTGCATAGTTCCATGTCGCTGTATATACTCAAGGGCATTTTCCTGGCTTCTTAGTGCTGGATTTTTCAGCCTTAATAATGTCCTTTTATTATGAAATTGCCTAAGGTTTTTAGTAGCAAATTAAAACAAAACAAAAAATCCATTGCTTGACATTGTGTTGGCACTCAGTTTGGTCATAAACAAGGATGAAAATTCTAGATTCACTTTCCCTGGCTAGTTTTCAAGGGAGACAAACTCTCTTCAGTCCCATCCCATCGAAGACAGTGCCATCCACTTTTTCCTTTCCTTTTCTTGGCTCCAGATCATCTAGCTGGTCTGGTCGTTGTCTCTTAGGTGGCTTAACCTAATTTTCTTTTCCCAGCCCGCACTAGTACTCATGTCTTATTTTGTACACGCTTTATCCCGGAGTCCCCGGCTTTTTCTGAGCCTCAGCTCCCATATCCTGGTTCTTCAGCCAGTTTCCTCTCCCACCTGTTTTTCCAGCCACTCTGGATAAGTGTGCTCCTGGCTGCCCTTTCTAATCACCTTTCCTGAGATCTTTAACCAACCTTAGGGTTGCAGGGAATGTCCTGCTTAATTACACCTGCATCAAGCTCATTAAGGATAAAATAGTTAAAGAAATAAGCTGTGAAGCATGAAAAGTGTCAGAACATGTACAAGTTGATTTTTGCAATGTTCTTGTAATTTGGCCAAATCTGGCCAAATTACACAACCCTCACAAAGTGCTTTTCCTTCAAACAGTGTGCAGTCTCCCATGAATTTCAGGATACAAATCTCAAGGAAGGATATGCTGCTCAAGAAAAGGAGCACTAAGTTTGTTTGTTTGTTTATTTTTACCAGGGTAGAGCCTCATATTTTTCTATAG